ACACATTTCTCTCGCAATTTGGAGCACTCTGTGCCAAGAGAAGATTTTCTCCTCTAGAAGATGCTGTAGAGCAGCCTGGCAATATCCAGATACATTCAGTAGGAGCTGGTGTCATTTTTTATTTCCCTGTTGCCTCGTGTATTGCTGACCCAGAGATAATCCAGAGTATATTTGCCCTTTGTTGTGTATAGAGTATTTAGCCTATTTAGTTAAGATGTGTACATTTTTGAAGTCTTGGTACAACAGTGTTTGGGAAGGTAGCACCAAACGTATATCATGCAAGTGACAGAATACAGGTTTGTAGCATCCCCTTTGTCAAACTAATGATAGTGCTGCTGCTGAGAACTGCTCTGTGTTGAGATGGTGGGTATGTGTTCTGAGCTTTTCTATCTTGCTGGCAGCGTGCTGGCTGCTGTCTGTGAACAGTGACTGCTGCTTCCTCCCATTGTGTCTCCAGTCTGAGTAGTTGTGAGCTCACACTAAAAATAGTGCAGCCTCCATAGCTTTGGTCTCTGCATGTTGCCTTCTTCCTGTCTGGGGCTTGGAAAAAGCCTGAGAAAGGGTGTGTCCTGCAAAATAGGTTGAAATGTGTTACTGGAGAGACTCTACTAACTATAAATAAAGCGGAGGATGGCAGAGGAAGAGCATTTCCTCCATAAGACAGTAGCTCTGAATCCTATTCAGTAAGGCCAGAAATCAGGTGGTGTGATGCTGTCACAACAATAAGCTTCCTTGTTTCATGGTAGGGGATTTTTACTGGGGAAACAAGCTCCCCCCTCTGGTTTTACAGATATTTTACTAAGGAGTCTGTTTTGCTGATCTGTTTTGCTGCTATTCTAGCTAATTCTGCCTAAATCAGGGGATTATTTCCATGAGGGGTAATAGGCAGATGTACATCTGCATTGATGTTGTCTGAATGCAGTGTATCATCAGTGGGGATGTTGAGAAGATGCTGCATAAGGGATTGCTCCACTGCATGGGCAAGATGTGAGGAACAATGGAAGAGAATCTGGAGCTATGCAAGTATTAATTATAATTGGGAAATTAATTACTACAAAAGTAGGCTGTAAGGCAGTGCTGCTGCAGTTCCATAACTTCAAGGAACTATACATATCTAGGGCAGACAAAGCTGTTTCCATTGCACTGCATCTGGAAAACACCACAAACGTCCATTTTCTGTTTCTCTGCAAAACAAAAGTTGGGAAACAGTGAAAAGGGAGGAAGGGTGGATCTCATTGAGCTCTTACCTTGTCATTTTTCTGACGCCTTGCAGATCTATAAGTACTCTTCTCCCAAGTGGATATATTCTTTTTTCTTTTTTTTTTTTTACATGGGTTTCTATTCAGATGGACAAATTCATCCTAGCCTGGAGATCCTCAACAAAGTGTCTGTGATCTTCATTGTCTTGACTGAAGAGGAAGGGTTTGGGAGTGTTTTGTTTCCTGCTTTGCACTCTCTTGGCCATAAGCAAAAGGCATTTCTCTCAAGTTGCTGTTCATGTTCCTTCCCTTTTGCTGAACTTCAGGGCTTTTTGTCTGCTGTAACTGGAGCCAAGTAGGAGTGAGTGTTAACTTGTAAGGACACCAATTCAGGCTGTCACTTGAGATCAGTGGCTCTTTAATGGGATAGATATGGATGCTCTTTTCCTACCTGTCTTTTTCCTGGGATGTTTCAGACCATGTGGATTAAACTGCAACAGTGTGGCTGAGCTCCTTGGAGCATCTTCAGAGATAGGGCTTTGTGAGGCTTCTTGCTGTAGAGGACTGTCTTTGAAGCCTCTCTGAATAGCTCCAGTGAGCTATTTCACAGCTGACATCCTCTCACTTTACCATTCAATTGAAGCTTATAAGGCATCATTAGGAATGTGGTTGAAATACCTATCAGTGAAGGGGCAAGTCATACAGGAAAAGCCTGGACAAGCAGTCTTCATCTTCCTCCCTTTAGCTCTATTACACAGATCTTTAGCTATGAGCACGGGGAGTTCTTTATTTACTATTGTCTTCAGTTAGTTGGGGATTCTCTCCCTTATGTCTTGTGCACCTAGAGACATAGAATCATTTGAGTTGGAAGAGACATTAAAAAGCCACCCACCTAGTCCAGCTCCTCTACAGTGAACAGGGACATCTGTATCTGAGCAACTTCAGAATGCTCAGAGCCTGGTCCAGCCTTGCCTCCTGCACTAAACAATCTTAATTGGTTACAGGTGCCAAAATTTAGTTCACAATTTTTGTTTGCATTACCATGCATGAGCAAGCACAGCTTGTCCTATAATAGATCAGTCTGCTATCAAGACTTGCCAGAGCCATGGTTGCAAACCCATGCCTATAGCTGATGGAAAGCTGAGTGGCCTCAGTGAATAAAGATTTCCTTTGAGAAGAGCAAGAAGAGACTTGAGCTGTTTCCCAAGGCAGCTGAGCTTGAGCATCAACCCAGGGATCTGTGCGTGCCCTGGCTCAGATCCCCTGCAGGGAGACTTGGAGGAGGGGAGTTTTATCAGCTTCTTGATGTTTCAGAGACCTGGAGCCATTTTTACATGGATTTGAAATCACCCTTAACCTCTGGGTCATGGCCACTGAACTACTCTGCTGCCTATTCAAGCTCCAGTGATCTTGGCTGGCTTTCTGGCTTAATTCAGAGACAGCCTGATGCAGCTCTGCACAGTTAATGCCCTATTAAGCAGTTAATTATTTCTCTATAATACTAGCTTTTATCTTTAATACAACAGTTTTACTGTCTCTGATAATTGCACAGACTCAGATAACTCTCTTAAATCTAATGAGGCATGACAAGCCATGTTCAACAAGGCACCACACCATTAACTTCTTACCTCTTGTCATCTTATCACACTGAATTACTATTTCTAGTCTGAGTGGCTGTGGATACATATCTGTCACTTTTCATTAGGACGAGTAAAAATCATCTGTGATGCTCTTGTGATTGGCCTGGTGGTCAGCTTGGTGGCCTGTAGAGCCCTTCTATGCCATAGGGAAGTTTTTTTGTACTCTTTGCTTCGAGTTTGTCAGTTTCAGTTTAAAGAATTCTGGCCTCTCAGCTTTGTTAGTCCATGGGTTTGTTTGTTTATTTATTGTGGAAGCATGAAATATAAGTGCTTGTTTGGATGTGCCTGAAGTCCTAGAGTTGAAGGACATATTTTTTTCATGTGTCACCTTGTCATTGTGCTAGTAAGAGGTACAAAGTTCCACTTCATCGAGCATCCAAGCAGGGGAATTCCTAGATCTTCTCAGGCTGGATCAGGCAGGAATTTCCCAGGGAAAGCAGCCCAGAACTGTTTCTTGGGCAGATGGTTGGGCTCCAGTTGGCAGGTTGAATACTCAAATACAGTGAGACTCACCCAGTGCATCATTTAATTACCATATAGATGCAAGACAGAAAAGAGCAATTTATTTGGAAGTAGCTGTTTCCAGCTAGTGTGTTAATTTTTTCTTCCCAGCCTTTACTGAGCTTGTTGCTCTGCTGGTTGATCTTTCAGTTAATGGGTCTGTGGAGGAGTGTAATCTAGAGCTGTATACCAAATGTGTGTGTGTTCTGGTGTTTGGTTGACTTTCAAAGTCACAGAGTAAGCTACAGAGCTCCAGGAGCAAAGACTTGGTGATGATGAAGTAGATAGCTGGTGGTCTTTTTGGGCTTCAACCTTTTAGAGCACTCATCACAATGACCTGCTCAGTACTGGGCAAATCTGGGAGGTGATGAAGAACTTAGTGATTCATGCTTCGAATACATACCCTTGAGATAGCTTGTTTAGGAAGGTTATACACTGATTCATACTTGTGTGTTCTGTAGCTTTCAGGCTCTAGGTTCCCCTAGGTGGCACCACCAAGCAGCTGCTGTGCTCATGTCCTATGATGGAGCGTCAAGAATAGCACTGAATTAGTTTCTTTTTGCCTCCAAAAAAAGAAGTCACAGATCAGTATTTTTACTCTGAATCATGTTCAAGCTGGTAGCATTTCAGGAACTGATTGTGACAGGTCAGTTCCCCATTTACATGGGGTTTTGAGACAGCAGCTGTAACTGCAGAGCCTATAGACTTAGGTGTAGATGCTAGCAGCCACCTCACAAAGCAAAATGATGCTACTGCATGCTCTTTCATTGATTAGGTTGGGGAAAAAATATAGTGAGGAAAATCTCTCCCAGGTCTCCTTGTTGCAGAGCACTGGTATCTTAGATTTAAGGGAAGAAGACTTGGCCAGGTAAGTGGTGCTCCGTAAAACAAATTCCTAGTTGGATTGACAGCAAAGCAGTAAAAAGAACTTCTGTATGTGGTATAGCACTAGGAAGCTATTAGCAGCTCCTGTTTGGGCATGTAAAAGCTACCTGAATGCATGGAGAACGTAAATCTATGGAACAAGCAACCTGGGACCCTTGGAGATGTTTCTGCAATGCTCAGAGCACTGCGTGTGGAACAAAGTTTAAAAATGAAGAACAAACTTAGTGTTATCTGCAAGTAGTAACTGTGATAGAGAGCACTGGAGGGCTCTGGAATGGAGGACCTGAGTGGCTGCAAAGAGTGAACTAATCTATATGCAGAGGGACTTCATTTAAAGTATTCATATATCTCTTAAAATCTCATGGTTGATGGTACTGAAACCACATCCCAGACACAGCCAGTGAACATCCAAAACATTGTGTAATAAATCAGTGTTTTAATAGTGTCTCCAGTTTGTTGACATGAGCTTGGAGCTTTACCTGTTTGCAGTTTGGCCCTAATACTTCTATGGTAGGGGTGCTTCCTGACTTCTGATCCTGTGAGCTGCAAGGAGGTGATGACTTTATTGTGCCTCTTGAATCCAAGAGCTTGATGGACTACTGGGATACATCTCTTGAATATCACTACCATAATTTTGATTTGCCTGGAAGAATTATCAGGGCTGGCAGATAGTGATGAAACCTCCCTAGCTTCCCTCTGGCCACTTGAAAGGGTATGGAAATACACATCTGTTCAGCTCTGATGGTTAACATAATCTCTCTAATTTTCTTTGCAGTAAAGCGATTTAAGGAACCAAAAGAAGAGAGGCGTCCCTGGAGGATATGGTAAGATTTTAAATTCGGATGTTAAAAAGCCCATGTACCTCCAGTATTTCTTCTACTAACAATCTTCATGGCTCTGTGACTATTCTATTGGTATTTAGTCTTTAAATAAAATGCTTTGCTACTACTTCCCAAGACCAATTTCCTAAAGCAGCTGGTACTCCCTAGAAATAAATTCCCTCCCTAGCTCCTCCAAGAAAGCTTGTTTTCACTGTAAGTGGCTGATCCAAGAGGTTGTGGTCCTCTAACATCTACTGACACAGCTGGACTGTCTTTCAGACCAGGTCAAGTTTTGGTTTTAAATTCAATTAAACAGATAATTACATCTGATGGGTCAGATGATCCTGTGGATTTTATGTATGGCCAGGCTGGCTTGCCAGTGTTAGCAGAGAAAAGCTTCTGTCCCCTGGCTTTGGTTCTTCCCTTAATTAATGGAATTCCCTTCTTGGGTATCAGAAATGCTTCTTGAAGGAAAATGGGTCTATGCCCAGCCTTTGCTTGGCTGACCTCTGCTGATGCTCTAGGAAACAGATCTTGCTTTTTTCGTTCCAGGTTTTATGATACCTCCAAGCAAGCAATTGGTGCCCTCTTCATCCACTTCGCCAACATTTTTCTGTCTGATCTCACTGAGGAGGACCCTTGCTCTCTGTAAGTACTAAAGGCACTTCCATTCAGATCCCAGTCTTGAAAAAGAGGGAGGAAACCAACCAGAACATGTTTGGCTGGCTATTTAAAGTACTAGATGAATACTAGAGAAGTATGCTTTGCTCAGTGTGGTTGAAGGCCCTTATCCAGCATAAGGATGTTTTTCTTGGAACTTCAGTTTCACCTACCACATGCATTCATGTTGTCTTATTTTGGGCTATGTAAATTAGACTTGGAATTTAACAGAAATGTATCTTTACTCCAGACCAGACAATTTGCAGCTACAATTCGTTTCAGAACTAGATAAAGTTGATTTTGTGTATCCTCTTTGAGCTCCAAAATGCTGCTTAAAACTTCCTGGCCTATCTTCTTTGTTTATATTAGGATGTTGCACTTCAGTGTGTTTCTTTGAACAGCCACAAGCTTGGCTGGGACGAAATGTAACCTCTAAAATGATTTATGATTGCTTTTAAACTGACATTGTTTGAAAACAACCCCGTTTATGCTTATGCCCTTCAGTTTCTCCTAATGTGCTTGGCATTTTCCTGGTCTGCCTGCCTTGAATACTGAACTGGGCAGAACTCTGAAGTCCTGCCCTTGGGCTCTGATGCTCTTATGCTGTGTATCCTGCCCAGTATAAACTACCAGAGTCCCCTGTTCTATTGGGAGCAATCTAGGGACTAATTTGAGCCTTTAGAAATGGGAAATCCTAATGCCTTTTTTTTGAAGTGGATATCAAATACAAGATTGTTTTTTCTTTTTCCTGTATCTTTATTCAGAAATGATATCAAGCTCTGGGAAAGGAAACATTTGTTCCTGTAGTTCTGTGCTTGGTGGTTCACACTGTAGAAGTATCTGATCTATTGCTGCAAAATAAGATTTCAATAGCACAAAACTGGCCAAAAACAGTATGAGACTTTTCTGTGAAGTTCATTAAAATACTAAGCCCTGGATTAGAGAGAGAGAGAGAATCTTGCAGTCCCAAGAAGGCTCCTGCAGATCTTCTGCCTCTCGCACGCTTTCCAGTAAGGCTTAAACCTCCAAAGCTGCAGAGCAAGCTCATCAGGCCTAAATCTCCTGATGGGGATGGATTTTGCTGCTGGACCTGCAGCAGAAACCCCAAACTGGAGGCTTTCAAGAACCCAGAGTGTCTGTTCTTGAGCCAGGGCTTGTTGCCTCTCCTGAATTCTTCTGCCTCTTGCTTTGCTTCTCTGCTCATATAGTATTTTACACCTGCTCTATGAAAGTGGCTTTTGACCTTTTCTGTGGAGCATTTGTGGTGTCCAACAAGATTCAGTTTTCTTGTATAAAATTCTGAAAATGTTTAGAATCATTAAAATTGCAAAGTCCACTGAAATCATTTAATCCAACTGCCAACCTATCACCACCATACCTACTAAACCATATCTTTCAGTACCATATCTACTCTTTTGTTGAACACCTCTAGGGATGGTGACTCCATTGCTTCCCTGGGCAGCCTGTGCCAATACCTCATCACTCTTTCTGAGAGTAAACTTTTCCTAATATCCAACTTGAGTCTCCACTGGTGTAACTTAAGGACATTGTACCTGTGTAGTTATGCTTCTATGAAACTTTGGTTTTAATTTAAGAACAAAAGATGTTGTAAATGGAACCTTCTCTTTTTGGGGGAGTAAACCCTAAGCTTCAATAACCCAAGTATTTAATGCTGTGTGAATAAATGAGTTCCAGGGAGATAGTGTAGCCTCCTTTCACTGCTGATCAGTCTCTTAAGCTGGTAAGACTATTGGTAAATTCAGTAACATGGCAAGGAAGGAAAGCTTGGACCACTAAGTAGGGATTTGGAAATGATAGCTTTTGATAGATTTCCATATTTTGAAGATACATAGTGAAGCTTGTGTCATATAGACTTGAACACATACAACTTGAACTTGTATTTTGAAGCCTCACAAAGTGACCTTTTCCTCTGTTCCTAGCTACCTTATTAATTTCATCCTTGATGCCACGCTGGGGATGCTGCTGATTTGGCTTGGTGTGAAGGTGGTCTCCTGGGCTGTGCAGCGTCAGAAGTACACACATCTTGTCTTTGGAGAATATGGTACGTGCCTATAGCTCTGCACAAAGGTGACTTGCTTCTTTTCTTCTGTGAAAGGAAAGAAGAAAATGGCTGGTTAAGGGGCAAAACATGAACTTCTATTCTACTGCACATGAACTTCTATTATATGTCAACAATCCGTACTACTGAATCATTAAGGCTGGGGGGGGAGGGGGGAAAGAAACACTAAGATCATCTAGTCCAATCATCAACCCACCCCTGCCATACCCACTAGCCCATGCCCTTAGTGCCACATCTGCCTTTCTCTCGAACACCTCCAGGGGTGGTGATTCCACCACCTCCTCAGGCAACCTGTTCTAATGCCTCACCACTCCTTCTGAGAAGAAATTTTTCCTGCTATCCAATCTGAACCTCCCCTGAATGTTAATTATGTTATGTTTTGGGAGCATCATTAGGTTGTGGTAACTGCTGTTGTGTTAGTCATGCTTGGGCACAGAAGATTGGTGATAAAAGGTTGAACATGTCCTGAGGTATATGATCCCTCAACGGCATGCATGTGACAAATTATGGTGTTTGGGTGTCATAGTGGTTTTCTGTAGGGCTCTTTTGTGGGGGTTTTGTTACTGACTTCCTCCAGCCTCTTTTTGAAATGCACAGTTCTTGCAGTTGTCTATGGTAGGCATCGACAGAGCAATAAAACTGGGTTATCAAATGACATGTTTTCCCCAAATTACATTTTAAAACCATTTTTTCATTAAAAAAAAACTCTTAAAAAGGCATGTAAGCTTGTCAGCCTCTGCTTCAGTTCCTGTGTTGAGGAAATTGTTGCCTTTCTCCAAGAGCCCCACTAGAGGGTAGCACTTCTCTTCAGAAGGAGAAGAGCAGTGCTTCTCTGCAGTGAAGGGAGCAGTTAACCCATGAGGCTATTTTGCATTAGTCTTTTTATTTAGAAAGTACACACTCATATGAATAACTTTGTCTTTTATATCATTAAGTCTATTCTAGGGGTAGTGGCATTCCTCTATATCCTTAGAAGCTGGTGAAACTTAGACTGAAGTGGGATTAGTGTGGAAACAACCCTGAATTCTGAGTTTTAGCTGACTACTTTAGTGCATAAGAGAGGGAGTGCTACACCTACCTAAACAGTTTTCAGCACAAGGTGGAGGGGATGGCTGGGTTTGTGAGATGGCTTGTGGCTAAACCTGAGAGTAGTTTTAAAGGCTGCAATGTTCTAAAGTCATTCAAATGAGGCAGCAGAGGAATAAGTATTCCTGGTGCTTTTTCACTTTATGAGCAGTCAGTACTCAAAGCCCAACTGCAGTCATCCCAGAGCACTGCTACACATGCCACGTCTGCAGCTGAATGGAAGCAGGAAAATGTTAATGCATATGGACAGCTTTAGCCTTGCAGAGTAGTAATGAACTTCTTGAGCTGAAGTTTCTGTAGTCTAAGCCAACCTTTGAGGAGGGAAACAACTTGCTCCTCCAAGGAAATCTTGGTTTTCTTAACAAAAAAAAGTTTCTGCTGCTGTTTGAATTTAGTTCTTGAACTGGCGATTAAATCTCATCCACCCAGCACCATTCTTGGCCAGAACAACTGTGATGGAAAAGTTAAATGGTAGTCAAATGGCACGTCAAATGAAATCCTGCTGCAGAGCTAAGGGAACAGAACTCTATCCTCAGTTCTGCTGTTAAGTAACCTCTAGACTGGTTTGGAAGATGCTGGCAAACTCTCCACAGTTTAATACAAGCTTCAGATTCAGTTTCTGGACTAATTGCTGTACCAGACTTGCATTGTTTTCTTCAGTTATCCTGAGGAGCAAAAGTTTCTCCTGCTGTTCTGCAGAGGAAGGTGGACAGAATACCACAAAAACACCAAATCCATGATGCAGACAGAACCTACTGTTCTCTCAGGCAACCAGCTGTCCAGAACTGACTGTTTAAAATAGATTATTCTCATATTTCCAAAAAAAAGTGGGAGACACCCATTCTGAGATCAGTCTCTTGAGTCTTAGCCAGAGACAGCTGAGGCCAGAAATGACCTGTTTTTAGCTAGTGGAGAGTCAAAAGTTCCTATACCTTCATGCTCCTCCATCTTTACCCAGAAGCTCTTTGGATTGTCTTTTAAGTATAGGAAGGTAAATTTGAAAAGGTTGCTGTCTCTTCTGGAGGTGCTTGGCTCCTGAGAATGAAGACCAAGGTTCACTCTTCATGTTGGTTCAAGTAGGTTTTGAAAACTGTGGTTGATAAACTCCAGCCTCCAAACTTCAAGTCCTTCAGCCTCTTCCCAGTTCTCGTGTAAGAAGCTTGCTAGAGGGAAACCTCTTGATGGCTGCAGCATCCCTGCACTGTGTACCAACTCAAATATTCAAGTTCTTCTAAAATAGTACTTTGAGGCAAACAAACTCTGTCAACTCATTAAGACACTTTTGCAGTGAGTGAGTCAAATGCTGAAGAGCGGCATAATGAAATAGTGAGAAGAAGTAGATATATTGGCTTGAAAAGTTATTCAGGGAGGCAGGCTTATATAGGAGCATGGCTGTGGTCACTGACCACATCCATGTGTTTGATGCTTTGTGTTCATTTGCTGTCCAGAAATGGGAAGGCGCATCACTTGGAGGCCTCTGAAGTCTGTTGAACTCCACTGGTCAAACTCAGTTATAGCAGAATGTGCTTTGTGCCAGCTGATGAGTTTAACTGAGGACCTGTGTAGGCTGCTTTTGGCCCTGCTGTGATTGCCTACAAAATTTCCATAGTAAATATTCCCATGAACCAAAGCAGCCAAGGGAGCTGGCTGCTAATGCTTGAGGAAATACTGCTGAAAATAGCTTTAACCTAGGGGGCTGTTTTGTCCTTAGCATGCAATTCAGATGTTTTACCAATATTTCCTGCTCTCCGTACATAGCAATTGAGAATTACACAGACACTTTTGTCTTGGAGGTACAATTTAAATATCTTCACTGAGTTCCTATTGACTTTCCCCATCCCCACCATCTAACCCATACAACTTTCAGTATTCTCAAACACTCACTTTTCCTCAGCCTCCCTGAACTCTCTGCCCTGGCTATGGTTAAATGTTTTCCCACCTGTTCAGTGCATGTGTAGTCCCTGGAAGACTACAAATAAAGCTGTCTGGCACTAACACGTGGGCCTTGACAGCTTGGTACATTAGACAGCTTGGATTAAAACTAATCCTGTTGTATGGTAACAACTCAAATACCTCAAGGAGTGCTGCTTTTGCTCTGCAAGCAGTTGAGCTCCCACGCACAAGCAGAACATGAGCTGTGTCTGTGAGGTTGCTGCAGGCACTGGGGATCCTAGGTCTGTTTAAAGGAGGTGATGGTGGAATAGGGTGCTGGAGGAGACTGGTCAAAATGCAATGTATGCATCCTTTCCTCTAGGAGTTGCAGGACAAAGATTTGTCCTTGCTGCAGGGAACCACTCAAAGGGAGTACGATGTAGCTTTCCCTAGCACATCTGCAGAGATCTTTTGTGCCTGTTCTCTTCCTTGCATAAAAAGGGAAGTTTTGCTTGCAGTGAAGGGAGGGCATTGAATTGGTTTCTGCCTCCAGGGAGCAAATTGGGTTTTGTTGATGGGCATCTTGTGTGGCAGAAACAGCTTTAGAGGCACTTACCCCAAGTTTCTAGTGGAAACACCTGATACAGAATCATAGTGGTATTTCCAACCATAATGACCATAATGAATCTAAGATCATCAGCTATCAACCCATCACCACCATATCAGGAGAATCTCTCACATCCACAGACTGAGGGATTTCTGGGTGGTGCTTGGTTCACTGAAGACATAAAGTGGCATCTAAGGATGCTCCTGGCCTGACTTTCCCCATCCCTGCCATCTAACCCAATACTGGCTGTAGGAAGCCAGCATCTAAATGAGCACCCTTCTATCGCTGGGATACCAGGATGCTGGAGAATAACTGCAGAGACATCCTGTGATCTTCCTGCTAGGTAATGGCAATAAAGGCATGTAATTCTGTGGTTTGGGATGCATTCCTGTACAGAAACATCCCATGTTCTGAAAACAAAGCTTGGAGTCTGAAGAGGAGAGCGAAGTTCCAAGGCAGTAGCAGCTTGAGGCTGCTGAAGGTGATAGAGCAGATGGCTACATCTGACCCCTAGGTCTGCAGGTCTCTTTGCAGATCCTTCTGTTGTTTAATCTGGGCATGTCAAAGGGCTATTAGGAACTCTTACTGCAGAGGAGATCTGCAGCTGCTGCTTTAGGTGATGCAGAAAGGATCAGAGTGAGAAGCTGGATATTTGATATGCCAGAGGTGGAGGCACCTCTGACAAGGTGAGGTCTGATGGGTAGTAAGGAAAAAGAAGGGTTTCCTTAAGACTGAGAATGAGGGAGAAATGATTTAGGTGAGAAAGTATTAAAGATAAGGGTGAATCTGCCCCATGCTGGATTAGGCAGCAGATTGTTTCTCTTACTGTCTGCATCTCAGCCATGTTAGCCAAAGCTTATCTGAGTGATGGAGGGTTAGGGCTGTTAAGTGCACAATATGCAGAAGTAAGATCTATAGCTGCTTGTGATAATGGATGGTAGTGACCTATTGCCAAAAGGGTGTGAGGGAGCAGGTATTCTGGAGGTATCTCCACTTGCTGATGCTTTTGGGGAGGGCTGAGACATTGGAGAGAAGTGTGCTGCAGGTGTCACTGCAACCAGTGTGGGACAGCTGACTTGCAAAGCTGTGCTGTCAGTCCCTGTTTCCTCATGGGGGATTGACCACAACAGCTGATGACACAGAGCAAAAGGCAAAGAGTTCAGCTACAGGAAGGAGTCCATGACTATGTTTGTTTTCCTGTTTTGTTTGTGTGAGCTCTGATACCTGATGGTAACCCCAGGGCTTATGAGAGGATTGGTTGGTCTGGGGATATCAGGCAAAAAGCCCCACTAGGCTCAGCCAGTACTGAAGAAGAGTAGATACCAGAACTCATCAGGAGAGGCTTCAGGAGCAGTAAAACCTCTTTGACCCCAGCCTTTAACTGCAGGCTGCCAACAATGCTGTGCAGACCACCCATCCAGCTGCTGTCTGCCAAGGAGTGCAGATGTGTGCTTTCCAAAATCCTCAGTGCTGGTTGCACTTGCACGTAACCTTCCCAGCTTCTTCTCCATGTGGTTCCTGCTGGTCTGGCTCTCAGCATCTTGAAACCACAGCTTCCGCTTCCTTCTCTCCCCTCTTCAGTTGTGGCTTGGGCAATTATAAAGCTGGAATGCAAGGTGATCACATGGAGCTCTCTGGCATGGAGAGACGAGCTGGATGCCTCTGTTCTTAGCAGTGGCTTTGCAAATATTTTGGTACATTGCTAACAAATAACAGGAAGTACAAACATGCATGCAGACTTGTTTTTGCACTCCCTGCTAAGTGGATTCTCCCAGCACTGGACTTGGTCAGATAGCAGCTCTTAGTAAGTTGTGGCCCATGCTGTTGGTTTCTGTGACCAAAGCTATGCATGATGATTTGGATCAGTGTTTGCAAACTACTTGTGTGGGCTTCCCTTGCTGTGTCTCAGCAGCACTGTGCTGAGAAAAGCAGGGCAGAGCTCCCTGTCTGTTGCCATCCAAAAGTAGCTTGAGCATCTTGCACAAATGCAATTCCAAGTTCTGGCCCAATTCCTCTGGAAGCAAACACTGCCAGCGATTATCTTTCAATTTGGATGGTAAGAGGAAGTGCTACATTTTTTCCTAAGCCAGATACTGCAGCTCAGTTTTGCAGACTCAAGATATTCTGATGACCTGTGAAAATGATAACCAGCTGGGAGGGTACTTACAGATGGCTGAAGCAAGCACATGTAATAGATACAGTGCCATTATCACTGCTAGCAATACAAATATGCTTTTTTATTATTACTTGTTAAGTACTTCATTGGAAGCATTCATATTTAATTAGCATTGATTATTTTTTTTAGTGGGTTGCTGTAAAACCTAGGGGGATGGAGCCACTGTCTCTTGCTCAGACACTGACACACAACAATTTGTTCACTCAATCAGCGAAAGCATAATTCAGTTTAGGACTGAAAGCTTTTGTCTTACATTGAAATCAGTGACCAGAAACTTTTGGAAATTAGGCAGGTAAGATTTGGCAGGGGAGTAACTCGGAGGTGTAGAAAAGGATCTGTTGTGCACTGCTGTGTTTTGGGGGTTGGAGTGGATTTTAATTCGGAAAAAGATTATCAGTCAAACTCTGGTCCATATGGGACAGGTTTTTGTGAACTGTTCCTACAAGCTTACTATTCCATAGGAAGTAATGGGGGGCAGAATCGGTGATGGGGTGAAACTTTTCTTTACAGGCTATTCTAGGTTTGCTGAAGTGAAGAGAAATGAAGTCTCTGGTACCCTGGCAAGAAGGGCAAACCAAGCTACTAATGTTCTGAAAGCAATGCTTGCTTGTAAGGAGCCATTTGAAAGCTCAGAAGTCTCAGCAGCTTAGAGTTCTAGAATCGATAAGATTGAAAAAGACTACTAAGATCACTTAGTCCAAGTGTCAGCCCATCACTACCATGCCCACTAAACAGAATCCATACACACAAGCTTACTCTCTATACAAGGGTATACAGTGATTTGTGCTTTCAGATGGGGTACTGGCCACTTTTGTACAAACAGGGTTTCTTCCCTTTATCCTTGTATATATTTAGCTCAAATATATACCATAGGCTGGATGCCTGCAATGCCTATTGGTAGCTGAAGGAGAAGGAAAAGATGCATCCCCAAGCTTCTGTATGTTCAGGGCTCTCCCCAAGAGGAGGAGAATGTCTCCCAAACCAAGATCCATCTGTTTAGCTAATCTCCTTGAAGTTACTGGGAATGTTTCTTTCAGCTGTGATTCTTGAGTATATGAGGGCTGCTGGATAAGCAGGGGCAGAGCCTGGGCTGTCTCTCTCCCCATATGCATAAGGTGAACGTGGGCATTATAGGACACATGTCAAGCCTGAGGTAACTTATCTGCAAGGCTGTCTTGTCCTGTGTCTATGTATTGTGCTCTTCCAGGTGACCCTCCACAAGCTGCTGCTTGGATTGGCCAGTGTATCCTCTACCTGCTGATTATGGCTGTGGAGAAGACCCTGATTAGCCTTGTCCTGCTGATCCCTGGTTGGACAAAGGTAGGCTCCTAAGCTGTATTTTATTTTCCTAGCTACAGCTATTGTGGTTTTTTTCTTGTCATTTTTGCCCTGTTAATGGTCCACATCATCGTAGGTCTTTAATCCTTTTGACTTGTTGACAGCTCTCTGTGATAATTAGCTATTACTTAAGTCTGAGGAAACATGATTTTCATAACAACTTGGCCTGTGATATGTTCTCCCGCTTGTCAAGAACTAGAGGAATATGATTATTTTTCTTCAGTTTTCTTTTCTGTTCTCAGAAGAATAAAATGGGCTGGGCTGGTTGGTGGCTGAGCTACTTCAGTTCTGCCAGGGGATTTCCACATTATCTTGTCAAGTCAATGCACTTGTGGCCTCGTGCCTAAACTAGGGAAACTGCTAGATTGTTCCAAATTAACCCCTATAAAGTATTGCCCCACCCTTCTCCTCATGCTTTTGTATGGTAACTAGGGGGACATTCGTTTGTTGGGATTGTTTTAATTAAAAAACATGCATTTTTTGGGAATTGTAGCCATTTATATGGAGGAAGGTAGGCATTGTGGGTAATTCACTGGTACAAAAGCTTTTTGAGGAATTAAGGGGTCATCCCAGTATTGAGTGCATTTGCACTTGGTGCCTTGTACCCGAAAGGGCTGATGTGACCTAATTGTACTGTTACTTGCAGCAGTCTGGGAGCATTTATCTGTTCCTGTTTAGGGCTTCTCTTTCAAATGTAGCAGCCTACAGTGCTGAGACTTGGCTGTGAACATTGATCTAGCACATGGCTGTGCAAATACGTTGACTTTATTTTGCATCTAGGCTCAAGAAGCCAAGAACAGTCCTACCAGCTGTTGTCACGGGTAGTTAAAGTCTATCTTCACTCATTTTATTGCTGAAAACAAAATGCTTGGCAGTTGGACTAAAGAAATAGCCTAAACCACCTCTAAGAGTTAGGCTAAAGCAAGGGATGCAGGGCCCTAGATAGGACATAGCTTAAGAATGCATTCTGTTTGCAGCAAACAGCTATTTGAGTAATGCTTCTAAATGCTTTTTCTTCTCTGCAGCTTCAGCAGATCCTCCTGAGTTACATCCCAAACCCCCAGTTGGAGCTCATCCTGGTTATGCTTGTTGTGCCATTTATTGTAAATGTAAGTGATGTCATTGCAAGTACAAAATGAGATGGTTTGGAAATGGGTCCTTTCCAGTGGGAAGCATGTATGGGACATGCTTGGTGGCCTTGAGTAATCAAAGTGGATGGACAAGATAAAGGGGAGTGAAAGCAAAGATCTTTGCTGCAAGCACAAATCTGTAACTACTGCCTACTAAGGGCTCTGCTTCTAATTCCCACTCCTTTGTCCAAGCTGCTGTGTGGCTGTTTCTTTACTTTTGAGTACAGTTGAAACACATTAGCTGAGAACTGCATCTAAACAGCAATGTGGAAGGAACAAAGGTGCTCCAAAGCCTATTAAAGTTCTTACAGGAATGGTGCTTCAGTGGGAACTTGCTGCGCTTTCAATTGTGAATAAAAGTGGAGGAAGCGTGTATGGGAAGAGAGGTGAAAAAGGCAAGATAATTCAGTGGACTTTCAGGGCAAATAAGTCCTCTTACTATGATCCATCTTTTTAAGTGTACTGTAGCTGAGGAAGGAAAAAACAAATTATATCCTTTGTATATGCCAAGTAAAGAGTCCCTACAAACATCACAAAGCTGCAAATATTTCAAAAGTCTTATTTGTACTCCAACCTTAAAGAGAAAAAACAATGCTCTTTCTTGCTTATATTCACCAAGGCTACTGTAGTGGCCAAAAAGCATGCTTTCAGCAGAAATAGAGGCTAGTTTCCCATTAGAGTAGCAATCTGGTTGTCCCAGGAGTATATAAGTCCCATTGAAGTGCATGGCAGATCTCTCTGCAAGTGTAGTGACGTGTATTTGGTATGAGGGCACTGGATTGACCATGTACTGTGCTTTTTTTTTTTTGCAGTGCAATGTGGGTAGAAAGCACTGTTAAAACAAGAGACTTTGGTCCTTTTGACAGGTGTTGGGTATTGGCAGAAGATCTACTCCTGACAGACATGGTCTTTGTCCACCTGCATCATTTAAAGCTGTGATGTCACTGTCACTTAAATTTGCAAATAGTCATGGGAACATGAACAAAAGCTAAAGCTCTTGCAAAGGATGTAGTAATGGGGTCTCTGTCTAGATTAGTTCAGACTGCCCAAAACTACTAATATTCTCAAACTTAGTTTGGCAAAAGCTCTGTTTTCTCTAGTTTTCTTGATGCTATGCAATGCTTTACTGGCAGATCAATTACTACCCCAATATGCCAAGTGAGAAAAAGATTTTAGCACTGAGATCTCTCCTGGAAAAGGGTTGAACTCCTTCACGCTTCTTACAACAGATGGAGTGTTGGCAAGATGGGTTTACCTGCCTGTGCTATTTCAACCTCTCTTCCCAACCCCACCCCGTGGTGTACTTGCTTGAAAGCAAGCTCTGGTTCTGTCTTCACCAGTCACTTTAAGAGCAAGTGAATGAATATTGGATGGCGTTGGTTCAGTGATTTAATTCTGGTAGAAACTTGGTCTACTGATCTGTAGATCAGTGATTTGTTTTCACTTGGTCTCCAGTGAAAAGGGAATCCTCAGAATTTGTGAGGAAGAGACCTTAGCAACTTGCCTCATCCACCCTAATAGATACACATAATACAGAATTAATTTGGATATTGGGCTGCTGGAAGATGGAGGCTTGGAGGATCCAAAAAGAGAAGAAAGTAGCTTGGTTTGCATGACTTTATATTTTGGTCTCTGCAGTCTATTCATGAAACTCCTTTCTCCCCAAGGCCGTTATGTTCTGGGTTGTGGACAGCTTGATCATGAGGAAACACAAGCAGAAAGATATGTTGAACATCAATGGATCCACAGAAACCCCACAAGCTAGGAGGAGTGAAGAATCTCGGGTAAGACCAAAGATGTTCTAAATCAAAGACCAAATTGTGCACTTGAATATGGCTTTTGTTTTATCAGAACTATGCAGTGTACCTCCATGTTGCATAGACCTGGACTGATGTTTGATGAATATGGGGGTGACCTTGGGAAGTCCAAATAACTTCTGATGCTTGTAGCTGAGGTCATCAGAGGTTCACTGGGAGGATTTGATGTAGTATCACAACCTATAAAGTAGTGCTGAAATACTGTTCTCTAGGATGACAGCATCTTGGGAGGAGGGTGGGAATCACAAGAGAGGCAGGCAGAAGCTGGTGGCCACATCTGCCCTAGTACTATCAACTTTGCTGTTATTAATTTTAGTTGATCTTGGCTCAGATCTTGCTTTCCTTACTGCAATTAGTAGCCTCCTTTTTTTTGGGGGGGAAGGGGGGAAGCACAAGGCCCTGCTGGGAATCCTGATTTTTTTTGTCAGTATTTCGAATTATTCAGTCTAATAATGGTCTTGTAGCTGCAGAATGCTGTGTTTTGCATCATCTGAGCCTGACTACTGATGTTAAGGAGACTGGGGTGGGAGTGGAATGCTCCAGTATCAACAGGCTTTGTTCCTGTAGGTAATGATGTGTGGACTGCCAGGCAGGTACTGCCTGAGTTTCCCATCAGATTTTTGCAGAAGCTACAACCTGATTCACTGGGTTGAATTGCCTTTCTTCCCCCTGGCTCCCAGCCCTTGTTTGAGTGCTGAGTGCCTGACTCCAGGTATCAGGAGACACTGTGATTGTATCCTGCAGCTCATTGGCAAGAGTTAACGTTAAATCACTTCTGGCAGTCATAGGCTGGCTCCTGGAGTAGCTGAGGAATTTAGGATGGACAGAAATAACACTGAGAAAGCAAGAAGTATTTCACAGAGTAACTCTGTTCTTGTACTAATGAGCACGATGGCCAGTTACTATAAATATTACTGTAAATTCTTCAGTGTATGCATAGGTAGCGGTGTTCAGTAGTGTCCTTGATGGTCTGCCCAGCAGGGATGGCCTAAGGGTTCAGAAGGACATGGCATCTGCCCTTCTGGCAGGAAGGGCAGGCAGATGCAAGCAAGTGGTGAGACAAATGAATCATTCTGCTTGGCCCAACACCCAGATAAACAGCTGTGGCTTGGCTAGGTTACTGAGGACACGTGAGCAATATTTCCCAGGGAGTTTCCTCAGCTGTGGGGCATCCTGAAGAAATTTGTATTGATCTGGAGAGGGAAGAGGAGCTGAGCAGTACGAAGATATCTTAATAGTTGTACATGGAAGCTAAGGACTGCTACCTAGGACATAAAGGTGGATTAACTCTAGATAGAAACTTTGCCCTGATTATAGCACCTAACTCCACTCAAAATATAAAACTGATGGTGAAGATCTGTTTTACTGATTGGATGTGGTGGAGTGTTACTCAGGTTTAAATTCAGCTAATACTATGCTGCCTCCTTGCCCTTCTTTTGACTAAAGAGCAACTAAGATGCTACAAGTTCTTTTCCAACCTGTAGCAGCCTAAGCTTGGGTCACTTAACCTCACAGATGTTACATAAGCTTCAGGCTGGTGTAGATACACAGATGGTGTTGGAGTTACTGGATCTCCATAGAAATGGAGTTGTCTCCTGCCTTGCTCCATTGGAGGAGACAAGTGTTTTATGGCCTTTAGCTCAGTTTTTGGATAACCTAAAAAGAAGGTACCTGTTAATCTCCACAAGCTGGAAAGCCTCTTCTGATAGCTTGACCTAGGTAGGGCACTTCATGTGGTGGATGTGGACTCCTACAGGCTGACTCTTTCTGTCAAAGGTTTTTCATATCCTCCAAGTATTTGGCTCCTTTTCTCATGAAAACTTTCTCTGAAACCTTCCATGTGCAGGCTGTCTGTATACCTTGAAACTGTCTGATCCAACACCGCAGTTTAGCCTCTAAGGTGATGGGTTTGTACCTGGATCTGTCTGCAGGGACTGCTCAGATAAGCTCCTGTTTCTCTTCTCCAGCACTATACAAATAATATGGGTAGGGAAAGATGTTAATTAAAAAAGAGTCAGACATGAGTGATCTTCTTTCCCCAATTCTGCTTCTTTGCATCAGGCCTTGAAGTAGACTCCTGCTTTGTCACTTTTTAATTTTCTGCTATTAAATACAATGTTAAATGGTTGAGTGCTACAGCTGGGTCAGCTGGGATTTAGGCTCCAAATCAGAAAACAAGGGTTTTCAGGGCTTGTTTTGGTTAAACTTTCTCCATGTGAATAGGTTATTCTTCTCTCCCTGCTACCTACCTAGACAGGAGGAGAAAGAGAGCTGAGAAGCATCTCTGTACAGGGCAGGGCTGGCTGGGACTAATGTGTCCTGTGGTTTATCAGGGTTCATCAGCACTGTCTAGCAGCAGGCGCCAACAGCTCCCCATCATGCTGCCTTCTTGAATTTCAACCCTCTGCCTATCTCACCAGTAGTGTCATTATTTTCACTTGAACTTGCAATTTCTCTGGAAAAGAAGGGGGAGAAAGGAAAGGAGTAGTCTGAAGTTAACCTGCTAAAAAACTGTACTCAGCACTTGCCGTAGGGATAGCAGCAATAACATCAGGTTGGATATTAGGGAAAACTTACTCTCAGAGTAGTAGTGCATTGGAACAGGCTGCCCAGCAAGGTGGAGGAGTCACTGTCCCTGGGGGGTTCAAGAAGTAGATAAGGCACTGAGGGATGTGATTTAGTGGGTATCCTGGTGATGGGTCAATGTTGGGTCTAGATGATCTTTTCCAACCTTAATGATTGTATGAAATGTTGGTTTTGTCATTGGCAGTTCAGATGAGTAATAAGAGGAGACCTAGCTATTCTACCACTGATGTTGTTTGCTGACTCGGCAGCTGTAATGCAAACAAAAGTAATTGTCCGTCTCCTGGGTTTCAAAGCTCTTCTGTGAGACACTGATATGCCACTGGGCTCTTGTTGATAATGAAACTGCTGTGATGCTTAAGAATAGGACAAGGAATAATGGCTTGAAATTTGAATGTAGGAAGTTCCATGTTAACATGCAGAAGAACTTCTTCACAGTAAGGGTGATAGAGCACTGGCACAGGCTGCCCAGGTTGTGGAGTCTCCTTCTATGGAGATGCTCAAGATTCATCTGGATGCCTACCTGTATGACCTACTGTAGGGAACCTGCTTTGGCAGGGGAGTTGAACTCAATTTCTTGAGGTCCTTTCCAACCCCTGCAGTTCTGTGATTTATTTTTTTCATATTGAAATTCTGTTTTTCAGTTTTAGTGCAGAAGAATTTCACTCTTGCTTCCAAGTCAGCCTTAAATCTTCCCTCTGTCAACTTGTGTCCTACCTTAGTAAATGTTCAGTCCATTTTTCCCTTTGTGTGGGATAGATAGGGAATGTCAGAGTGCTTGTCTGAATCTGGCGCTATTCAGGGTAGGGAAGTGCATTCATCTGCTTGGTCCTGATTTCTGCTTTGCTTGTGTTCTGCCCTTGACCTGTGTCTCTTTTCCCTTGTTCTTGTAAGTGTTGATAAACTTAAGATCTTATCGGTGGTTTCTTTGTTTTCACCATTTAGGAAAACAAGTCAGTTCTAATAACGTTGTATTTGATCTTTTTGGACTTGTTTTAGTTTTTTCCTCAGGGAATAAGTGAGCTTCTGCTTCTTTTTCTCTCCTCTTTGAAGTTTTACACTTTCAGAGGCAAATTACAGCAACATTTGGTCTATTAGCAGTGGTACTTCTCAGAGTCTTTGCAGAGAAACTGGAGGTTAGTTTAAGGGTTGAGAGGAAAGCTAACGTACTACGTGGACCTGCCTTTGGTTCTCATGGAATGCAGCACCAATTCTAATCCCTTCCATAGGAACTTCTGGCAAATTTGCTAGATTGAAGGTGATAGTGAATGCTGATACCTCTACTGCTTGCTTTAAGAGTTGAAGAGCACTCCAAAAGCAAGTTTGACTTGCTAATTGGTTAGCTGAGCTGATTATTTTTTTTTAATAGCTCAAGGTGAAATGGAGTGCCTGCTCATTAGGGGAAAGTTAAATGAAGATGGGTATGGTCTCTGGTAGGAGACTGTCCCACCTGTCAGTCCTACTGAGATATGGGAACTCATCTGAACTCAGATGTGGGAGGAAGGTAGGATGGTTCCTGTCTCTGCATGTGACTAGTAGAGTTTCAGACAAAATTCCATGTCTTGCATGGAAATAGCTCTTGAGATTCTCTATTTTTCAACTCATTCTTCCTGGTGTGAGGAGGAATGCGTGAAGTATTTAGGGGCCAAATAGAAAGTAGCATATTGTACTGAGATTGGACAGTGTCCATTTCCAGCTGTACCACTGAACTGTTGTGATTCTGACCTGGAAACATCTGTAGAGGAAGTGTCTTGATCAAGCTGTGCTGAAACATCCCAAACAATTCTGTCTGGGGGAAAAAATGAGGGCCTGTACCATGACCCTCATAGCAGTGAAGTGCCTTCTCATGATGAAGCTCACCATGGAGCTATGGAAAGGTTACTGGAGGACTGTTGGCTTGAGTGGTTTCGTATGAGCTCTAGAGCAGGCAGATAGCAGCCCAAAGGGATCTGGACACACAGCGTCTTCTACCTCAGCCATGGCTGGCTGTGAGAAGGTCTGAGTTTACAGCATGAAACCCACCTAAATAATCAGTTCATTAGACTCCAAAGATGACCTATTGCAGCCTGTCAGAGTTCAGTGATTTTTTTCAAAATAATGCTGTGTGTAGTTAATCATCCTTTTTTTTTTTCCAGGTCCTCCAGCATCATAATATTTATATGACAAACAGGAAATTTTCACTTGGAAGAGATGGAAAATTTCCTGTGATGTCTTGAACAAAAAAAAGAATGGGGTTGTGTAGGTTAACTTAAGGGGATGGAGGGGAATGAGATCTTAATCTGATCTATTGCTATCCTTTGAGTATCTGATGTGCTGCTCTGAGGATAACGAAATCAGATGGAGTGTGTGTGTGAGAGTGGGGAAAATGTCTTGTTCTGTGGCTGTTCGGCTTCTTTGAAGTCACTGACTCATTGCAGTTTGTTTTTCCTGTTTAGTTGCTTTGTTGCTGTGGTGACTGGCTTGGTGATGCTGTTTTAAATAAACAAGTGGAGGATATGTTCATTCACAACTGTGTCTGGAGATGGCCATGAATAAGGCTGTACTCCTGCTCTAGTTGTGTTTTTCTATTTCACCAAGGAATGCTGGGCTCTGGGTCTGGTTGAGCTGTTAGTGGGTCTGTTGGGCTGAAAGCTTTTGAGCTGTTCTATAACTGGTGTCTTGGAGGTAGAAGGGTTTTGTGAGATGGACACAAGGCTTCACAGTTCATTGGTTCCAGTCGCATCACAAATTGATGAGGCATTGGAACAGGCTGCCTGGCGAGGTGGTGGAGTCACCATCTCTGGAGGTGTTAGGAGAAAAAGGTAGATATGGCACCCAGGGACATGTTTAATGGACATGGTAGGGATGGGTTGATGGTTGGACTAGATTTTAGTTGCTTTTCCAGCCTTTATGGTTCTATGAATGTAGGGTCAGATGGGGCTGAGACTTGAGTGGGAAGTCTTAGCTGGGTGAAGGCTGCTGCTTTTCTTTTTCATTTGGCCTGGGGGAGAGTGCTAATTGGCTCTTTTTTTCCTTATTGGCCATGAACTAATGATGCTAACTGGGTGTTGTGAGGCAAATGGAGGAGAGGGACTTCTGACATCACTCATCTAGAGAAATAAAACTGAAAGCCCTAAGCTGTGCTGCTAAACTTAGGTCTAACTCTATGCTATAGATGGGCACAAGTGTCAAAGACTTGGTCATGCTACTGATTTGGGGGATCAGTGCTGACCAGAAAGCCTTGGCTCCTAGCTGCTGCTGGGGTGACTGCACATCATCTGTGCTTAGATCTTGCTATTGCTGGGGCTAAAAACAGTAGGGCTGCTTTTGCTCAAAGCTGAGCTTTAAAGGAGTCAAATGAGGTTGAACAAACAATTTGTCAAGCTGTGAATAGAATCATAGAATACTACCCATGCAAACAACTTGTCTGTCCAGCCTGCTGGTTAGCATTAGGTTGCAGCTCTTCTGTGGGGCTGTGCAGCCATAGCCTGAGTAAAATCTAGCCTTTTTCCTCTTCCAGATGATATGGCTGGAGGATGTCCCATCAGGATGGTTCCGTCTGCATCGAGCGAATGCTCCGGGCCGGTGGCAGCCACTTAGCTCAGAACTGCCTCTTGATAGCTTCAAGTCTGAGGTTAGCAGCTGAGAGCATAGGTGTTCTGGAGGCAACGGGCAACCTTGTGATTATGCAGCAAAGTGTTCTTATCAGAGAGGTGCTGGTGGGAGGCGTTGGTGCTCTGTTCTGGCTCCTACAGTTCAGACTCTGCTGGGTAGGAATAAGAAGGTGTCAGGCTAGCTCAGCAACTCTGAGCCTGCTGGCTATGGCTGAAGCAACCCTGAGTTCTGCTTGTTTCCCTGGCTGAGCTTTGGAGATCACAAGCAGCTGGGGGCCTGGGAAAATGTCTCTTGTTACAGCTGTTTGCAAAATGTGGCCTAGTTTTTGTGCATCTCCTCGGAGGCTGCAGCCTGGCCTTAATGTGAATGTTTGTGAGTCCTGTCCCCTGGTGAACAAAGCTTTCAGCTGCCTGTTCCACTCCCAAGAGAGCTTGCGGGTACCAGAGCATCTGTGTTTGGATCCATATGTTCCTGGCTGTCTTTGGAGTGGTCAAGGTGACTTGAAGACCTCCCTGCTCTTCAAGATCTAACCCTGTTGGCAGTAGGTCCTTTTATGGATGCTTGTCCCCTCTAGCAGTCCCTTGCTAGGGGATATTGTCTGTGGTATTAAGATGAGAGAAGGAAATTCCAGCTGCTGTCTGATTGAGGACTGATTCCGTGAGCATCTGTCTGTTCTCCTCTCCAGGTGCTGCTCTCTCCAGACATGGATTTTGACCAGTCTGAAAGTGACCAGGATATCTCAGGACTCCAGGGAACAAACCAGAAGATGAAGCAGCCCAGCTACCACGTGGTCATCTGATAGCACTGAGACAAGGGAGGTGGAGGGAGGAAGCAGTACTGTGATTCCTGAGCTGGCTGAGGAAGGATGCAGAATGCAGCTGATCCCTAGGGATCTGTGGAGCCCTGCCTCATGTACGCCTCTCCTTTTGCAGTTATCTCTTTAGGATGGTGTCCGTGCAGCCTGTATCTAAGCAGTATCTGCTTTATCTACCCAACCCTACCATAGGCACATTGCAGGCATGTTGAGGTTAGGGTAAGGATGTGTGCTTCCTCTGGCTGGCCAGCTGGGTGTAACTTTGTCAGAGCTAAAGACTGAAATCAAAAAGTTCTCTTCTTTTTATAGAAAAATCCTATACTGTCAGAACTGTAACACTTTTATATGCACAGATACTCTACAGAACTGGTTTGTGATTATATTATTTGTGATTATATATTTAAATGCCTTGAATTGGGAAGATTGTCTCAGTGGATCTGATGCGTTATTATTTTTCTTTTTTTACTATTTTATAAGGAATGCAATAAATATTTGACTTAAAACTGCTTCATATGTGAATTGTTTTCCAGTGCCTTATTTTGTGAGACACTAGCCCTGCAAAGAAAAAGGGGCAGGAGTTGTTGGGTCATCCCAGATCCTGGCATCTTCTGTTACAAGTTAGAAGTTCCTATTCGCTCTTGTTAACAGGCTCTGATAATCTACAAACAGCAAAAATGCAAAGTGTTCTGCAGCTCTTAGAGGAGAAAACAGCTGCTTAATGTGTTTGCAGACAGCTGTGCTGAAACTCAAGAGTCCAACCAGAACATGGTCTGATCCAGGTCTCTAAGCAGGTAGACCTAGGCAAGCCTCACATACTGTAAAAGTCTCAAGAAGTGTTGGGCAGGTGGTTTTTTTGGGTGGCATTGGTTTTTTTTGGGATCTTCCCTCCCTTGTGTTTTCATAGAAAAACTGTTCCTTAATCAGGCATGTAGATATGTAGATAAAGGGTTTGGATTTTTCTGACTTTAAAGGGCTTTAGTCCTTTAAAAACTAAGCTGAGAGGATGTGAATTTCCTTGGGTAGCTGTTCTTTCCAACTTCAAAGCAGTTTAGAAGCGTTAGATGCAAATAAGTCTTACATGCCTCTGAGTGAACTAGACATGCTTGGCTACACTTGCAGCTGTATAGCCCTATGATGTATTTCTAGAAGTTAAGTCCCTTTTTGTTCTTTATTTAATGGTCAAAATCCCACTTGTGCTGGCATGCCAAACGGCTGTTGGAACAAATGACACACAGCTCTCTGAACAGCTCATTTATACTGCTTCATGACATCACTCATTGCCAAACAAGCAGAAGTTGCAGAGTCCTCCGCTGGTGAGGGCTGAAATAACCCCTGTGCTGCTGTAAAAACAGTTGAAAACAGCTTCCTATTAGGAACTTGCCCAGGTGAAATGGTATTTCAGTTTTGTTCTTGCTATAAGCTGTGTAGTGAAATACTATTCAAAAGGACAGTCCTTGTCCTGAAATGGAAGGTATGTGATGTGATCTCAGTTGGGGAATAAAACTGGTGGTGCTCAGTGCTGGGTGAGGTGGTTCACAGTGGGCCATCATGAACACTGGGAAAAAACTTCCTTACTTTGAGGGGGACAGAGCCCCAGAACAGGCTGTCAAGAGAGGTGGGAGTGTCTCCTTCACTGGAGATACTAAAAACCAGTCACTTCCACTGTGCTCTGGAGTGATTGCTTAGCCTTTGTATCGGAGCAGTTTGTGATCATAAACCACATCAATGCAAAGCAAAGTGCTCTGTGACACTCATGAAGATGAGAACAGATGTGTGCTTGTGCATGCACATACCTGGGGCATCTCTAGGCTATCAAAAAGGGGTATAAAGACCAAGCTTGGACAATTCTGAGGAAGGAAAAGCATTAACACCCCTTTTTTAGGTATTGGAACAGATCACCCGGAGATGTGGTGGATGCACTGTCCTTAAAGATGTTCAAGCTTAGGCTGGGTCATGCTCTGGGCAATCTGATTGGGCTGTAGGTGTCCCTGTTTATTGGAGGGGAGTTGGATTAAATGGCCTCTATGAAGGTTCCTTCCAACTCATGATTCTACAGAAGGGTGAAGCTGAAGTTTCCAGTCCATAACCTGCTTTTGTCCAGTGATCCTGGGCCAGCAAGAACATGAACTCTCTTAACTTCAGAGTGGTTCTTTCAGTCACCTGGTAGCATAAGTTTGTCCAGGAGCATGAAACATACCTACCCTTAGCTTCAAAGTGCATTTCATCTTTGGTAAATGAGAACTTCATGGTAGCATTCACTGTAAAATATTTATTGTGAAATGGATAACTGGAACCTTAAGGAGAACTTGAGTACATTGCTCCAGGTGCTTCACATGGTTGGGCAGCTGGACTTGATCATTGTTCTTTTCAGACCCTGAAAGAAATATGTTTTCTTGGCTGGGGAAGAGGACCAATGATGCACCTGAAGCATTACCAGTACATGTGTCTATATATACATATCTATGTACAGGAGAGATGAGAGCTAACCAAATCGCTCCCGCTAGCAATACACTTCAACAGCAAAATGTGGGAGGAGAGTGAAAATATTACTGTAAGGACTGCATGAAGACACCCACCATCTAGAAGTTTGCTGTCACTACCCTCTTCATCCTGTGCTAGAGAAATGGGTTGTTATTTTGCAATGGATGAGGTGATATTCCTCTGTTGGGGAATCTATCTATCTGACTCTCCTTTTATTCCTGTCTTGTGAGCATACTGTGAAGTCTCTTTAGTTATTGTGTGATCAGAATTGCCAAAGGTCTTGCCTTCGCTTCTCCTTGCGGGAGAGCTGTTTTCCAAGATAGCCAGACTCAAAGCAGTAGTTTGGAAGAAAACATGGAGACAAAATCATGAGCCTTGGCAGAAGTTTTGCACTGGCCAAACTCTCTGGAAGGACATTGCAGAGATTAATTCTAGTTGGTTGCGTTGGGCTGTTTCCCTTTCCCCATAGAATGTAGTGTAAAAAAAGCAACCATGCTCATTACCTGCTCTGATGCTGCAGTGCTAACTCAATGATCAAGCAACTGGAAAACAACTCCACCCAACCCAACTCCAGCAGCTGGAGCTCTGACAGCAGCAGTATGACTTTGTTCTTAAATATGCAAAAAATTAGTAAAAATTGAACCTATTTCTGTATGCCTCTGGCAGCTTCTTATTTTTCTCCTCACACATGGATATCATTTAGCTCTGGAGATGCTTCCATCAGCCACCCGCCTTCCTTTCTCTAGAAAAAGCAGAGCATGCATGAGTTCAATTTGGCCGCAAAGACTTTGACTTTGTGGTTGTCAGAGTCCTCTTTGGCCAAGTTCTCTACCAGCAAACTCCCCTGTGGCTGATGTATAGCATTATTCAGTGGTGCCTCATTTTAAAATAGACCACAGCTTTGCTGTTCGCGTTTGGAGGTTTCTTTGCAGAGCAGAACCACCTGCAGTGGGGGTGGCTGGCAAACCCTCCCCTAAGCTTCTGCTGCCAAATTCCTGCTGTGTACAAATTCCTGCAGGGCAAGGAAGGAGAAGCAGCCAGGGAAACTGGGATGAAATTTTTTAAAGATTTGGAATAAATAAATACTTCTCCAATTAGAAAAGCAGCTACAACTGTCCAGTCTAAAGTCAAAATTGAGACACTTCTTTGTAGGTTCACAAGCTATGGAGAGTGCAGCTTCATTATCTTTTAGCAAATTTAAATCTCTGCAAAGCAGAAATGTTCTGCTCAAGGAAGTGGGAGGTCTGCTGAAAGCTCACAATGGAACTTTGCTCCTCTCTGAGGGAGTAATGAATCAGGATGAAATCACTACATTTATAATGTCATTTAAATGGGATGGTTTATGGAATGATTGCTGGCACCAACCCTATTTCTGCAGAGGACCACAGGTGCTTTTATGCATGCAGCCTGTACTCTAAGACAGCAATATACTGTATAAGGGTTTTCACCACTATATTAAGAGTCTGTAGTGATTCAGGGCACAGCATGTTTAGTGGCAAATCCAGACCCTATCCCAACAGCCAAGAAACCAATACCTTATTGTGGCCTTAAAGTTTTTATTTCTTTCTTACCTTTTTGATGCTATTGGCTCTCTGCAGATGAATATCCACCCATCTCTCTCCTCTCCCTCTTCTCTTCCCAGGGACCATGGCTGGAGCATGTACTCCACGTCACTTCCTTGCAAAGTATTTTCACCCAAGGTTGCCTCTCTAGATAGGCACTGTGATGCATGATTCACACCTTTCATGGGTGACTCACCAGCCCCTGGGGTTATTGCACAGATCCCTCAATGGATTTAAGGCAGGCAGCTCTCTGCATGTATAGGACTGCTAGCCCCTTTCTCCCTCCTGACCCACTAGGAGAGCACCAATCACACCTTTAACTGTATCCTCAATCCTTTCCTCCCACCTCCTTGTCTTCAGGAATTTGATGAACCCTATTCATCTAGCATGAATTAGAGACAGTGGATTTCCAAGGGCAACAATACTTGGTTTCTTTGGCACCAAAAAGTATAGAAATATTCATAAATTGCCTATCTCTAGAGGCTTCAGAAGGGACCCGCTGTCACACATGCTGCTGCAGTGCATTGCTATGATCAGTCTTAAAGGCTGTTTATCGTCCCAGGGCTGGTCCCAGTGTCAAAAGGATGAGAAGCCAAATAGTCTTTATAGCTGCCATCAATCAGTTTGTCTGCGTTGTTTTTGGCAAACCAGCAGTCAACTTGCTGCTGGCCATTGTAGATCCTCCTTTGCTTCCACACAACAGGAACAAGCCGGCCCTTCACTTTCAGAGTGTTTGTAAGGTTTGGCTGTAATGCTTCGGTTTGGTTTTGGCCAACTTGCTGTTGATTTATGTTTAAAGATTCCCGAAGAAGTTTAACTTCATGGCTCAAGAACTGACCTGCAACACAATATAAAACACATCACTTTAATGGTTGTTTTCTGCCTACGTATAAGTAATTTTTTAAATAGGTTATATTGTGAGGGTTCTCAGAGTGCGGAGTTGTTTACAGCTTCTCTGCAATAGCAGGATGAGTCTAGGTCCTGAGATTCCTTAATAAAACTTGTGAAGACAGAGATTAGAATAAGACCTTATGTCTTGTCCACTGACTGAGCTAAAGAGCTTCTTGATCTGCTAGTAGGTAGTAAGTTCCCCTCTGTAGGCCATGGTTTCTAGAGGATGATGGCCCATACAAAGCCCATCAGCAAGTGGAAAGACTATTTAGGCCTAACCCCAAGTTCTCCTCTCTAAACCTCTTAAGGTCTTTTAGTTAGATGCAAAGGCCTGAATCCAAAACTCCAAACTAGAAGGATATCTCCTGCTTAGCCTAAGAAAGCCTGAGCGTCATGGAAACTGGCTTCAGCCTTAGTTCTGCGTATGTGTATGTCCATAAACATCACTTCTTGTCATCCGCAAGAGCCTAACTGTTCAGACATTCTCTGAACCTTCCTAAAGCCCAGTTGCTCTCAGAATGTGGGGATGGTTCATATTAAAAAATTTGAAAGAAAAGAGTAACAAGAAATACTAATGTTTCTTAA